TTACAAAACCATTATTTACAAGAGGTGGTCTGAAAGTATATTGGATCATTAAGGGATGGTCATTTAACTAGTCAATAGTTTGTTTAAATTGGGTTAAAAATCTGAAGGACCTGTTTAAAACATATATTTTATTAACCATGCCATATTATAAGGCTGGGTAAAAAAAAAAAGGCTTTTTCCTTCAAAAACGGTATAATCAAAAGGAATTGTTAGATAATTAAGTCCAAGGAAAATTGAATTTTTGTAGAAGTTATGTATTTGAGGCCATATTGAAGAAAATGCCGACTCTCGTTGTCATAATAGCATAGTGTTTAGGGGAAAATTGATTATTTCTTGAACTACTGATTTCTTTACAGAGTTTAGAAGAATACTGGTGCAATCACCAATTTTTTATTCTAATTCATATAAAGTCATTTCTTGTCCTGCAGGCGTAAAATTTATTAGTTCAACGAGTCTTTCTATTTTTTGTGAATAATTTCTACTAGTGGAAGCTTAAGATCTTTGGAAATGGATTTTTCAACAATATTTCTAGAATCAAGTCTTTCTAAATTTTTATGTAATTGCTTAAATTCATTTTGATATTTAGTAATAGTCTGTTGAGATTAAGAAATTTGGTCTTCTAAAAGTTCAGCCTTTCTTCTAACATATGCTTTCTACGATTTAAATTTTTAACAATCTTGGTCATAGTTTTGCAATTATTACAACGTTGTATAGCTGAAGATGATGATTGAGAGGTGGAGGTTTGCATAGTCTATCTAACTCCTTCAAACTTATGAAAAATATTCTTATACAAAAATCTAAAACTTCCTATAAAGTATAAAATCCTCTAAACAAAAGGTCTTGTAAATCTGTTTACCTGTTGTAATACTTCTTGCCAATAGTTATTTATGCTTAGATTTTTATCTTTAATTATTGAGTAGCAAATAAACTGAAATTTTTGCTATCTACATGATTATGAATCTATCTAAAATAATTGGCCAAATCATTAATGTTGTCTAATTTCTATTTAGAGTCACGTGTCATTTAGAGATTATTTAGTAGACAACACTCTTTTTCTGAGAGTCTTTCTAGATTATTTCTTCTAAATTGAATATTAGATCCTTGTGGGGCTACTCGAGTGACATTCCTAAAGTTCATCATCCCCTAATCCATCTGAATTATGAAAGTAATTTGTTAGAAAATTGATTACTGTGTTATCTATATTCTCTATATTGACTTTGTAGCTATTTAATATTTCATGCAATTTTAACCATCTTTTATGTCTCATTTAATCAAAATTTATCTTTTTGATAAGTTTTAGTATAGCTCAACAATCTATTTTAAAAGTAAATTCAGTATTGAAAAATAATTTAAAGCTTTTTATATTATGTATAATAGCCATTATCTCATAATCTAAATTGGTCAAGTATTTTCCTTTATCTTATATTTCCACTAGCATATCTACAAATCCATTCTTCATTTTTATCACTATATTTATTTAGTATAAAATATAAAATTCCTCCACTATCTGTTTCTATTATTTGTATTCACTATTTAAAAGTAATTTTAAAGATGGTACAATTTTTAATTTCTTCTTTTACTTTTTTAACTAGTTCTATATCTGACTAATTACAAATATATCTGTCCTTTGCTAGATAAAATGATATATAATGGCCCCACTTTTTCCTAAATCTTTAATAAAATGTCTAGCATAATCCAAAAATCCTAAAATGGCTTGTAATTTTTTAGTTTCTTCAATTTTATCTCAAAACTGTAAAATTGTTTGAACTATGTGTGGTTGAAGTTAAATTTTTCATTCTCCTAAAATTATTCCTAAGAATTGAACTTCTTGTTTATTTATTTAAATTTGTCTTTTTATTTATAACTAAATCATTTCGATGAATTTATTTGAAACTATATAACTAAATCATTTCGATGAATTTATTTGAAACTATCTCTAAATGTTTCATACGTTCTTTCTAATTTTCGCTATGTACGAAAATATTATCTATATGCACACAAAGGAATGGAAAAGAAATGAATATATAATTAGTCTTTCTTTAAAATATAAATGGTGCATTTTTTAATCTAAAAGACAAGATTAACCGTTCAAAATATCTTAGCGATGTTGTCAAAACTATCCATGGAGTAGAATATGTTGCCATTTTTATTTGCAAAATCTAGATTTACAATCAAACTTAGAAAAATATTTTACTATTTTTTATTTTAACCATTAACATGTCTTTGTCTGATATTTATATCCGTTTTTGGTAAGTATTATCATTTAATCTTTTACAATTTATAACCATTCTTGCTTTTTCTCTTTTAAGCTCAATATGATTTCTAAACATAAAAGATGTTGATCTATGTTAATTGCTAGAGAGTCTTATTACTTTTAAATCTAATAACTCTTTAATCTATATTTTGAAGTTTTCCATGTCTTGATTTGTATGTTTTTCTAAGTTATTCAACGAATTAAAAACTAATAAGTTCTATGTTAAAAATATATATATTTGAAGAATATTTATATTTATTTTGAATATGTGGTATGAAAATTTAATTATATATTGTTGTCAAAATAATATTAAAATGCTTATAAATATTTATTTATTACGTCAGGTTTGATCCCGATTGAACATTTTGACTTTAAGTATACAATTTCACTTTTAATGAACTTACAAAAATATTTCAAAAATCATGTGATATATAACATATTATATATTTTTGAGATATTATGAAAGAAATTTAGGAAAATTAATTAATTTATGATATTTCCATCAACAATGTCATATCTTAATGAACAATGCTATAAGTACAGAAAAATCAACATAAATTTTACAGAAATAATAGTTGAGGAATTACCATTGAAAAATAAAAGGAAAAAACTGACTAGCAAGGTGCTAACATGACAGTATATATATATCAATTAAATATTATTTCTCACACATAAAATTCTCTCTCTAATATTCAGAATCTCACATTCTCTATCTTACTCATCACACTTTTTCTCTCTCTAAAGTATATCATTTAATATATTTTTCTCTCGCATGTCATCGCTCACTTTCTCTCTCTTAGACCTTACACTTTTTCCTTCTCTCTTAAATCTCATACTCTATCTCTCAAAATTGATATAAATCATGATTTATGTTGCCACATTTTGTAACATTTAGGGTCTGTTTGATTGCGAAGATGGAATTTAGGTGGAAAGAAAATGAATTCCAGGGAATTGAATTACCTAGAAATTATTTTCATGGAAATTGTAAATTATTGTGTTTGATTGTATAAATTTTTCACGTGGAAAATGTTGAAGTAAAAGTATTTTTTTATGTTCGTTTGACTTTGTTTTACGTGGAAATTGTCAATTTCAGGGATATCCTCTTTTACAATTATTCCTAAAATTTGTTCCCATTGCCAACAATTAAAAAAAAAATAAAAAAAGCAAAAAAAATAAAAATAAAAAAAGGTGGAAAACCAAAAACCACCTATCCCCTAGGAAAAAAAAAGGTGGAAAATCACGCTTTAAGGTGTTGTACCTAGAAATTCATGGAAAATCAATTTCCTGGAAAATTTTGTCAATCAAACAGGCCAAAAGTGGAAGTTGGAATTCGAATTCCAAGTTCCATGGAAAATTTCGTGCAATCAAACGGGGCCTTAATAAAAAAATTTGACCTATAATGTAATTAAGTAGATCACTGTCACATTAACACATAATTTATGATTAAGTTCATATGTCAGTCACAAAGATACAATTATGGGTCAAAATTTCAAATTTAATCACAAATTATATGATTTTATTAGTCACAAATTATTTATTGATTATAAATTATCAAATTAATTGGCTACAACTCATATAACGTTCTTAAATTTTGAAAAATTGGTCATAATTTATTTATTAATCTCAAATTATCCAATTACTTCGTCACAATTCATTTATTAATCATAAGACATGAATTATATGTTACAAATACGGATTTAGTTACAAATCGCACAATTCTTAGGTCACATATTATGTATTGATCCCAAATTACTCAATTTATTGGTTACAATTATCCTATAATTTAGTGACAACTACCCAACATCCCACCCACTCCAAACCCATTCCAACCTACCACCGACACAACCAAAAGACACCATTGTCATCTCAACACAACCATTACACCATTGCATAGATTTGTACTCAAAATGCTGGTGCCTCATCATAATCACCACTACCATAACCAATACACAGATCTATACTTTTATCACACCACTATCAGGCGAATTTGCACATCCACCACCACCACCACCACCACCTCGTACAACCATTGCATCAACACCACAACACATACATATCTATACATTGAAAAACCCAGCACTATACGACATTTGTAGCCCATTAAAAGCCATTCTATCTCATAGCAAATTCTAGATTTAAAATCTATTAATAGTCAGTACCAAATATGTGAGAGATCTAGAGAGAGATATTAACAAATGAAAGTGGATTTTGCATAGCATACAGAGCTTAACTTGTGCCACCATGCGAAGAAATACGTGAAGGATCGAGAAACAGATATTTTAGAGAGATGGTTCGTACGCTTTCGTAATTTGTTGAACTATTTGAAGAGAGAGAGAGAGACAGTATGCAGAGAAGGAAGTAATAGATAGAGAGAGAAATGGTGTGTGTGTGTATATATATATTATTTAGAAAAATAATTATATCTAATTTTTGAAATTGAGCTGTTGTTTGAGCCTCATTTTTTGATCAAAATACATTTTTCAACAGTGATTTGATATCATATCAATCACACATTCTTCAATAAAATAATATTATATATAAATTAATGATTTTTTTATTTCTTAATCACATATTTTTCAACAAAACACTATTCAAAAATGTATTTTTTTTTTTTTTTAACAAAGAATGTAGGGGTTGAAGTTATTTTCGCTAAAAATCTCTCTTTCTAATACTCAACCAAGCATGCACCAACTCTGGATTGGTCCAGTCCATTACGGCCCGTTATATGTACGGCCCAAAACCATGTCTTTCTTGCTAACCATTTCCTTATTGAGTCATTCCCTAGACTCTTCTCCGCCTGCCCCATTTTTTCCTCTGACTTTCCTGCATCTTCTCTCTCAATTGGCCTCTTCAATTAGTTCGTGCAATCAATGGCTGAAGTTGAAGCCTCCAATACCCCGTCCCTAGCTGAGGTAATTTATCTTTCTATACTCGCTTTTAATCTTTATTGTTCTTATAGTTTCAGTTTTTAATTTTTCTTTATTGTATATTGTTGTTAAATTATTTTCCGTGAAATTATATTATCAAGCTCTGAGTTTCACCATCTACCAGATTAGATGTTGCCGGATCAGGTTTGGTTAAATGTAATTGAATTTTTTCCAGCTTAAATTCCAAGGACCAAATCTGTAAAATCGAAAGCATCATATGTAAATAAATAATTTTTTCATCTTATGATGTATCATTAGGGTTTCATGGTGAATCAAGCACACTCATATTGGGTTTGCAATACGGGCTCTTCAAATATTAGAGTTGTGTGTTATGGTTGGAGTCCAATTTTCAACTAACTCAACCAATAACCAGCAATTATAAACTCAGGAAGCGGAATATAAATTATAATTGCTCAAAGTGAGGAATATAAACTGAACTTACAAACACGAACCAGTTTATGTCTAGCCAAAATCAACCATTGATTCCATTAATAGATGATTCCATTACAATGTAGGGGATTTACAATTTACAAAATAAACATAAAGACAAAAATATGGTTTAGCAGAACAAGAAAGAGACGGAGAACTGGAGAAGATTAATAATACAAGAAGAGGAGAGGAAGAACTAGCGAAGAAGAGAAGAAAGCAAGAGAAACTGGGAAGAAGTAGAAGCAAGAAGAAGAGGAGATGAAGATTCGGATAAAAGAAGAAAAGAGAATAAGTGTAAGCAGAAGAAGAAGAAGCTTACCAGAAGAAACACAGAGGAGAAGAAGAAGCAGCGGAGGGAGGGGGAAGACGACCGGCAACAGCCAATTTCAATTCAACATACGACCCCTTCATCGTCTTCCACCAAAATCATATATTGAACAACCTAAGAGTAATGGGCTTTGGGCTAGCCCAAATATAATACAAGTCCAACTAACTAAGATAAAAGATAAATGACTCAATACATAGTTAGCCATAACATTGTGTTTGAACTTTATAATATTTTAGGCTGGTCAAATAGCAATAGATAATATAACCGGAACTCTAGTGATTTTAGGCTCCCCTAAACTTGCCAAAAAGTTAAGATGACTAAAATACAGGTCTTGATTGGCTCACTCACACCTTATATGGGTTTTTGGCTAAATAGGAACAGGATTGAAGACTTCTCTGGTACAATGCTACTGGAGATCTTGGTGGTGGTGGTTTGGGGGGGGTGGGGCTGGGGGGGGGGGGGGGGGGGGGGGGGGGGGGGGGAGAGGAAAAATTCCCCTGCAAGGAGGGGAGAGGCCGTGGAGAAGTTCAAGTTTGGTTCCCTTATAAATGAGGATAATTTGCTAGCCATTTTAGACATTGGAATTGACAGTCATCTTACCACATGTTTGGTGACTTTGGTCATCATAAATTCTTATTCTACGTACTTTACAGTTATGACTAAGTAAAATAAATTGTTAAGTAAAAATAAATCTTTCTCTTACTCTTATCACTTTGTAGTAACTATGCTTGCTTGGTGAGCTTTTGCTTTCCATGTCAGAAAGAATGATGACTGGTGGTTTTTTTCCTTTAGCTATATGGCACAAATCACAAATGTCATTCTCATATTCGTGGGATTATGTCTAATTCGATAGGCTTCCACGAGTCTGTAGCATGATAGGTATCAAATGTTACATTTTGAGGTTCATATTATGTTCTGGTATCTTCCCCCAAAAATGTAATTCCAAGAAACACAATAATGAATCAAATTAGATGATATCAACAACCCAAGCTAGAAATCTATTTATCGAACTGAAACTTTCAAAAAAAAAAGGGGGGGGGGGGGGGGGGAAAAAAAAACAAAGAGGGAAAAAAAAAAAAGAAGAGGAGGGGGGGGGGGGGGGGGGGGGGGGGAAAATAACAAATCAAGGAAGGGACAGAACGAAAGGGAAAGAGAAAAGAAGATAATTTGAAAGGAAAGGTTCACAATGATTCTGTTTTTTTGCGCCCATTTCCCTCCTCTCCCTTCCGATATAACCAAAATAGAAAGAAGGAACGCGTTTATGAAAATGCAATAAATAAAACAGATTCCTATTATATTCATCACTATTGACTCAAAACGGCATCGTTTCGTTTATGTGAAACGACGCCGTTACTTGATTTCAAAACCCGGTAGCTGGCTTGTCTTCTTCTTGGTGTTCCTCTTGCCTTTGTCTCCCCATTTCAGCAGACGTGTTCCTTCATGAAATCCCTCCCCCTCAGCTACACCTTGTCCCCAAGGTTGAAAGGATGGAAAAGATGCCTGCATGTTCTTAGCAGTCTCCCAAGTCGCCTCATCCGGATTGGAGCCCTTTCAGTGGACTAGCCATTGTTTTACAGCTGGCCCATTCTGAATGATCTGCCGTATAGACAACACCCGTAGAGGCTGATTATGCTCTCCATGTATTTGATTCTATTTGGAAGTGTACGAATAGGAACTTCTTTTCCCCAATCTTCTTCTTAAGTAATGGAACGTGGAAAAGTGGATGAATTACGGTTGTAGCAGGTACTTCCAGCTTGCCATTGATCCAGTTCTCTGAATCATCTAATATGGTCCATAATACCTCACTAAGAGTTTGTTGTTAGTTCTTCTAGCCACTGCTTGTTGAGCATATGGGTGTAACTTAAGACAAAGCTAATCTTCCAACTAAAATTCTTTCAGTAGCTGATCCATTTTGTGTTTATCTCCATAATGTTTCATCCTATCTATCGCTTGTGTTAGATTCTCTTTCAGTAGCTGATCCATTTTATGTCTTTCGGAAGTATATCCTCTACTGCTACAATGTTACTCTGTTGGTTTGGACCCAAAGTCAACTGGGGTGGTTTAAGACCATATAACGCCTCAAATGGGGTCATTTATTAAGTTGTGTGCAGAGTCGTATTGTACCACCATTCAACCAAGCTAACCCATTTACTCCATTGCTTAGGGTGCATATACATCATGCATCGAAGATACATTTCCAAACACTAATTCAGCCTCTCTGTTTGCCCGTTGGTTTGGGGGTGATAAACTGTACTTAACTATAGTTTGGCCACCCCCAAATGCTTGAACAATTCTTGCCAAAACTCATCGGTAAATATTTTATCTCTGCTTGTGACAATGTTATGTGGCATACCATGCAACTTGTAGATGTGATCCAAAAACAACCTCGCAATAGATGAAGCTGAGAAAGGATGAGCCAGAGTGATAAAATGTGCATACTTAGTAAACCCGTCTACCACTACTAATATCACATTTGTAGCGTACTGTGGTTCAGGTAAGGGCTGTAAGAGCCCAAGATATGCCACTGTTCATTCTTACACCATTGACACGTGTCACATTCTAAAACTTCTTGCTTAATCTCTTTACTCGTCCCCGGCGAAAACACGTACTGTTTCGCTTTGTGAATGCTAGCTTGAACACCTGAATGCCCTCCTTCTTGCGAAGCATGAATGGCTACGATTAGCTTCTTCCTCACCCTCCATCAGTCCCAATATAGATTCTGGATCTGTATTTAAGTAGCCCATTTAAGTACTAATAATCTGGGACAGCCTGGCCATTGAGCAACAGTGCATTAATTTTCTCTTTTGCAAGCCCATCCCTTTCGTATCTAGCTATCACTTCTTTCTATCCATCGAGGTGTCACAGCAGTGACAGCTAGACATTTCATCTCCCTTCTAGATAAGGCATTTGCTACCTTATCTGAACCTTTCTTGTACTGAATCTCGTAGCTGAGTCCCAACAGCTTAGATAGCCACTTTTGTTGCAATGGGGTCGTGATTTTTTGCTCCAACAGATACTTAAGTGACTGATGGTCAGTCTTGATGATGAAGTGATGACCCTCTAGATAGTGCCTCCACTTCCCAACGGCAGTTACTAGTGCTAGGAGCTCCTTCTCATAGATTGATAATCACAAATTCCTGTAACAAATGCCCTTACTTAGGTAGGCTATGGGTCTTCTGTTTTGCATCAAGACAGCCCCTAATCCACCATAACGAGCATCAGTTTCTATGACAAAGGGTATAGAAAGTCTGGCAACGCTAGAATTGGTATAGTACTCATGACCTTCTTCAATATTTGGAATGCTAATTCAGCACTTTCATTCCATGGAAGCTATCTTTCTTAAGTAGGTCAATTAGAGGCCTAGCAATAGCTCCATACCCTCTAAGCTGCTTGACATTGACTAGAATAGGCCACCTTTGCATTGTAGTGATTATAGAAGGATGAGCTGATACCCCTTTTGCAGAAATAATATAACCTAGGTATTCGATCTGAGATTGTCCAAAGGAACACTTACTATCCTTAGCATAAAGTTGATGGTTTTTGAGGGTTTCCAGTACCACGGTAACATGCTCTCAGTGAGATTTTATGTCAGCACTATACAACAAGATATCATAAAAAAACACTAAGATGAACTTTCTGAGATGTTGCTTGAATACATTATTCATCAGGCATTGAAATGTGGGTGACGCATTTGTCAATCCAAATGGCATTACTTTGAATTCATAAAGACCTTCATGAGTTTTGAAGGCTGTTTTATGGACATATTCTGTTGCTACTCTAATTTGATGATAGCAAGCCCTCAAATCAAATCAATCTTTGTAAACCACTTGCCTCCTTTCAACTCGTCCAGCAATTCATCTATCAATGGCATAGGATACTTGTCCTTGATTATGAGATTATTAAGCTGTTTATAATCTACACATAATTGCCAAGTACCATCTTTCTTTTTTACCAACAACACAGGTGAAGTTAAGGGACTGTTACTTGGTTGTTTGATGCCATTTTCTCTCATTTCTTTAACCATCCTTTCTATTTCTGCCTTTTGCATGTAAGGGCACTTGTATGGTCTCATCCTGAACGGTTGTGCCCCATCCTTTAGAGGTATATGGTGATCACTGAATCTGGGTGGGGATAAGCCTTTTGGCTCCAAAAACACCATGGGAAATTGCTTCAACATAGCTTCTAGTTCTGCAGGGGTATATTTTTGTCTTCTTCAGTGATGGCAGCAATTTGTGCCATTATTCCATAAGTTTGACTCCTATTCCACCCTTTCTCTTTATTGTCAATCAACATTTGAAATTCCTCCCTAATAGTTTCATCTTGAAGTTCCATTTTGATTCCTTCGTAGCTGAAGGCAATGCTTCCCTTTATGAAATCAAATAATACAAGGCTGAATTCATTTAGCCAGTCCACTTCTGCTACCATATTACTGTCCCCTAATTTGAGAACCCTTAATTTGTATTGGAACTTTAGATCTTGCATCTTCCAAGTTGGTTGCAAATAGCTTTGCTAACTATTTCCCTCCTGCTACAGCTATTGAGGTAGGTTTGGCTGCTTGTAGGTTGCGACTAATGCTACTAACCGACTGCTCATTGATGAAGCTATGAGTGCTTCCATTATCTATCGGAATAGACATCCCTTTTCCTTCAATCAACCCTGGTAACCTAGAAGTTTTACCCTTGTTATTGTCCACCAATGCATATAGTGAAATTTCCATTAGTTCATCTACACCTCTTTTATCTATTTGCTCTCCTTTATCTCTAGGCGGTTCCTCTGCCACCTCATCCTTCTCTTCATCTATTAAGATGAAATTGATCATCCTGTTTTTGCAAATGTGATCTCTAGTGTACTTCTCATCACACTTATAGCATAACCCTAGCTCTTTGTTTACTTGAAAGTTGGGGATTTTTGATTCAGTGTAGGGTGTGGATTTGGGAGTGGGTTCATTTGGTTTAGAGGTTGGGATGGTCCATTTATTTGTTGGGTACGGTTTGAAGGCTTTAGGGCCCTTTTTGAGGTTTGTAATGGTATTTTCTTGTAGGATGGCAATTTCGAAGGCTTTGGCTTGTGTTTATGGTTGAATGATTTTTACCATTCATTTGATCTCATCTATCAAGCCACTAGTAAAGATAGAAATATAGGACTCTGGCACGTGTGGCAAGGAAACTATCATTTCGGATTTCAATTTTTCAAATTGTTCTTGGCATTCAATCATAGAACCCTTCTGTCTTAGCTTGCTGGAGACTTCTATTACTTCCTTTACTATGCTCTCGGCAAACCTCCTGTAAATTTCCCTCGAGAACATGTCCCAATTAGCATGGGGGTGGCTGGAAATAAATCTATGGAACCATATGTCAGCTTTCCCTTTGAGTTGCATTTCGGCAATTCCTACCCTCAACTCATCTTTCAGGCCACTAGTAAAGATAGAAATATAGGACTCTGGCAAGTGTTGCAAGGAAACCATCATCTAGGATTTCAATTTTTCAAATTGTTCCTGGCATTCAATCATAGAACCCTTCTGTCTTAGCTTGCTGAAGACTTCTATTACTTCCCTTGCTGTGTTCTCGGCAAACCTCCAGCAAATTTTCCTCGAGAACATGTCCCAATCAGCATGGGGGTGGCTGGAAATAAATCCATGGAACCATGTCAGCTTTCCCTTTGAGGTACATTTCGGCAATTCCTACCCTCAACTCATCTTCTATTTGATGAATCTGGAAGTGCTTTTTCGCCTTTCGCAACCACTCCCTAGGCCGTCCATCTCCTCCAAAATAAGGAAAGTCTATTTTGGGTAATTTGGAATTCAATTTAAATTCTCCATTTCCATTGGAGTTACCTAAATGGTACTCACTTCCACGGCTGCTATCACCAATGGTTAGGAACAGTATTGCACTTCCTTCGATTTGTTTCTCCTTATTATCGGTTTTACCCCCATTCATCTGGGCTAACATCGCGACAATAGATTCATACTTTTGGTTCATCTCACCCATTAATTGCTCCATTCTATCCTGCTTGGTACTCACTACCTTTAGCATCTAGTCTGAGGATTTAAGGGCTATCCCCAGATCAGTGACCTTGTCCAAACGCTTCAGATGGTCCTCATTCGACTTAGTTACTTCGAGACTCAACCATCTCAGTTCACGTAGCTACTCTTATAACAAATGTAATGGTTGAAGCTCAGTTTCGACCAAACCAGATAAAATGTTACTCCACTCAACACGATAATGAATCAAATCAGATGATATCAACACCTGAGTTGGAAATCTATTAATTGAATTGAAACTTTCACAAAAATAACAAGGAATAACAAAACAGAGAAGGGATAAAACGGAAGGGAAAGAGAGAAGAAGAGAATTTTGAGGGGAAAGGTTCACAATGATTCTGTTTTTTCGTGCCCATTTCTCCCCTCCCTTTTGGTATAACCAAAATAGAAGGAAGGAACGCATTTATGGAAATGCAATAAATAAAACGCATTCATATTACATTCAGCACTATTGACTCAAAATGGCACCGTTTCATTTATTTGAAACGACACTGTCACTTGATTTCAATACCCGGTGGCTGGCTTGTCTTCTTCCTGGTGTTCCTCTTGCCTTTGTCTCCCCAATTCAGCTGACCTGTTCCTTCATAACATACCACTCGTGGAACTAGCTCAAAAAGTTACTCTTTGCGTTCTCTACCATTTATTTCCACGTGATTCTGGGGTAATAGTGTATAAAACCATGTCAAATATGCAGTTCATGCTTCAAGGGTTAGTATAACAAAGTTTTCAGCACTTAGGTTGTATTAGACTTGTAGTTATGTAGTATTGTTTACCAGATGCAGGTCTCTGGGTTCAATCCTAGAATTGGTGGTATTTGTGTGACTAACATTAAACTTCAGTTTTTAACTACTGTAAATTATCCCTCTCTATTTATGATATAGCTGAAATGAAAATTGTAATCTTTTACAGATTACAAAGGCACCATATGCATTATATTGTTATTTTTCCCTTCTAATGTCTTTTCTCATTTTCCTTTCTGAAATGCATGTTAACTTCTTCTCAGGTTTCCCAAAGAATTTATCTTCATTTGGAATTTATACTAAGTGCAAGATTGTCATTGATATCAATGTTTAAGATCACTTATTTTATAACATTATATTTTGTGTAAATTTTTATTTTGTACTAGTATCTGATATACAACTTTTTCATTATGAGTCGGAATCGAGGAAATGAAATTTCATGACAGATTAGACATTACGCTTAAGAAGTTGCATGTGATATTGTCCGCATAGCTCTTGAAGCTTTTGCTACTTTTACTAAGGCCACTAATTTTTTTCTGCAATAATGCTCTAAAACTTTTTGATCGCCAGCCAGTCTGTCTAATAGTAAAATATAGTGGTATATGGAAAATTTATAATTACTAAAGTGTTACATAATAATTTTATGTGATCAATAGTAAATTATATCTAAAGTTTGTTCAAACTAAGAGGCTAATCAAACATGCAAAGTTAAGCATTAAATTTTATTTGTCAAAATTTATTAGTGACATTTTGGATCCTTAAAACAGTATTATTAAAATGTATCATTCATGAATAAGAAAAATGGAGTACATATGAAAGGCGGTACATGGTAGTTATGAAATAACTAGAACTGAAATCGTTTCAGTGGTTGGGTTCAGTCATTTTTAAAGGAGAATTGGTGGCAATGTCACTTGTATTGTCATGGGTGTTGGTTTAAATAGAAAATCGAGTTTAGAATATGTAATCAAGAATTTCTTTAAGCTTACAAGGAAAAGTCTTCCACTTTTCAATAAGACAAGTCCTCATAAGACCAAATGTTGGACTCATTGGAACAACGTATACATAAGTTGAACCAATTGACCTGTGTTTATGCAATGTGCATTTTCATCTTTTAGTTGTGTCTCATTTTCTTAGAGTTGACAGTAATGTTCCTAGAGATTTTGGGACTTGGACTATTGATTTGAATAGAACTTTTGTTATGAGAAACCATTTGTCTTTGCATATGGTGGAAGGAAGTTAATGAAAATTGAGACATGAGCAAGCTAATGAAATTAGTTTAAGAACTCAAATTATTCACCTTTCATTATTCAGTTTGATCTTTGTCCGGCCTGAGAAACCTTTCCACGCCTCAGTTACTTTTTTTATGATTTGCATTATTCTTCTAGAATTCCCATGTGACACCAAAAGGCAGCACATTATTCTGGATAGGGTCTTCCATAAATATATTTGGCATAAGTTTTGGCTACCTTACTTTAAGGTTCCATGTCCTTGATGGCATTACAAGTCCTATAATATTTAGCCTAGTGACTTCCATTATTTGTGAACATTTTTGTTTTCCTTGGTTCTAATGATTATTGAAGAGATATAGGGATGAGAACTTTGAAAAATCGAACTTGTTAAGAGAAGAACTTTAAAAATGATAAAATTGAATCTCAAGTGTTCTCTTTGTTTGTGATTTGAATTCTCATTTCGCTTGTATTCGCTTGACTGATTATGGCATACCAATTGTGGTTCTTTGATGAATAGCAATATTTACTGAAGGAGAATGAGGTAAAATCAGAAATTCCTGCAAAATCTGTGGAAGAAACTGGGGATAAATCCTCGGTAAATGCTGTTGCCAAGGAAGTTGTTGAACAACCTGAGGAAACCCCCGTCTCTGTTGATAGTGACGTTTCCCCTGCTGTGGCTGAGGAGAGTGGCAAAGACTCTGATAGTGCTTCTGGAGAAAGCAAGGAAAACATTCCTGTCGATGAATCCACTGGTGAGGTCAGTCCAGCTGCCAGTGAAGAAAGCACTGACAGTGCTGAACCTGAGGATGCAGGTGAGCAAGAAGCTGAAGAGACTCCAGAGATCAAGGTTAGTTTGACTACAACATTAATTACGACCGTTTTTTATGCTCTTGGGCTGGACGAGTTTGCTCTATTGATTTATACATTCTGTTGCTCTTCTCCTTGGGATACCAGCTTGAGACGGCACCAGCTGACTTTCGTTTCCCTACGACAAATCAAACCAGGCACTGCTTCACCCGATATATTGAATACCACAGGTGGGTCAGACTGGTTATAATGATACCTTCTTTTATCAATTTATGATCAATTATGCCTTTTCTTTCTTTACTAAACGTTTGTCTTCTTAGATGTGTGGCTGCAAAGGGGGAAGACGCTCCCGAGTGTAACAAGTTTGCCAAATATTACCGTTCCCTTTGTCCGGGCGAATGGGTATGTTGCATCAATTACATTGCAAAGACAACAGATTTTCTATGTTCCTTATGTCTTGATAGCAATGCATAACCCAGGGGAAAGTCAAGGATGGGGATGAATGTATATGGGATTTTAGTGGTACAAATACTTGTTTATAATTGATAAATAAGGAGAATGAAGTGGCTCACTTGTAAATTGCAATGATTTGATAACATATTTATATTTGAGTGAGGGGTGTTCAATATTGCTAATTCTAGCGGGTCTTAATTTTTATTGGATATATATTTCCTTGGAAATTTTTAGATTATAAGAGTTTTCATATTAGGTTCTTTTCATACTAGGTTCCTATGTATTCTGTAATGGAAATCTTCATTTTTCTTCACAGTGCTAAATTTTCTCTTGTTACACCCTTACTGTTGCAGTTAGCGTGCTTGCTTTCTTCTTCAGTTTCTTCCTGTCAAATTTCTTATAATTTTCATCTCTTTGAAGAGCTGTTGTAGCTTGTCTGACTCTCAGGGGTGCAGCTGTTTTGGCTTCTTTTTTACTTTATTTTTTCTGGCTGCAGCAATCACTTCTGTCCTCGTAGTTGGATTGATGCCACTTCTTCTTTGCTTGCTTCATAATTTCAGCTTTAGCTGTCTCAATTTTTTTAACTTCTGAAATACTGCTAATTTGCTACTGCCTTTTAATTTCACCATCATTCTTTGGGAGCTTCTCATTTTAGTCATCAATGTGGCAAGAGGCTTGCATTTCCATTTCCATGTTAAAATTCTACAATTCTGCTATATAATTTTCTCAAGAAAAAACGAATATATCAGGTTCTTCCTTCACTTCAATTCCAAGGAAGCTTCTCATAAAACCCAGATCTATTATCTGAAGTTGCTTCATCATCTCCCTTTTATATTTGTCATTCATCATTCTTTTTTTTCCTTGTAAATCAGGTCCTCTGCATATAAATATATTGTTAAAAATCCAGTGATGATTTGCTTGAACTCTTAGAAAAATTCCATGCTGCTGAAACTATTGGTTTTTGCTATTTCAACTGCCAAGTCGACAGTGGTTTCCCGTATAACATATTCTGCAGTCAATTTCTAATTGTTTTGAAGGTTGTATTTTTGTATGGAAGTTGGGGGAATCATCTTATTGTCATCAAGTAACTGTGTATATCTGTTCCGAATCATTCCGATTTTCTCATCCACAATCTTGGGGATTTCCAATTATTCGTGTTTGATGGATGCTTTGTTTTCAGAAATTATAGTCATACAACTTAGGAGAATCACCTTATTGGTATTCTGGTTGTCATCAAGTTGCCAGGAATCTCTCTTCCGGATTATTCTGGTTTCCTCATCAACATTATTGGGATTTACCAATCATCATTCAAGTTTGAAGGATTGCTTTGATTTTCCAAAAATCTAGGATTTAACAGTAAACAACTTCTTGGAATTCTAGCAAGCATTCGAATTAGGTTCTGTAAGGAATTTTCTTAAAATCATTTTTTTATTATTGCATGTGTGAATTTGAAAAGAATGGACTTGATGTAGCACTTTTTTTCTGATAACAAATAAATATTATGTTCTAAGTCGAGGTTTTTTTATATACTTGTGACTGCAGATCGAAAGATGGAATGAGCAGAGGGAAAATGGAACCTTTCCAGGTCCTCTGTAGATGGTGCACGCCGTTGAAGTTCCAGCAAACGCGACGTGCATAGTCTTCTTCTCGAGCAATTTGAGGGAATAAAAGTTTTTTTTGGTGTCGTTCAGAGGCCCCTTTGATTAAATTGTTATGAACGAGTTTTATATTATATGGTCATTTAATTTTCTAAGATTGCAACAATAATCATAAATAAATGTGTTACTACTCTCTATTTAATCTGTTGTTTCTTTTTGTGGGAAAAATGAAAATTAGAAGACTCACTATTGTCATCATTGTAGAATCAAAATTATCGAATTCTGTGGCTTTTGTTTATTTTCTTTTCCTGGAGGATTGTGATTTTGAGAGTCTGGCTAGGTTATGTGGGCTGAAAAGTACGAGGCATCTTTTTTTATTGATTTTTCGAAGCAAGAAGCAAAGGGCAACAAGTCTGTGCTACCAACCTGCCTGCCTCTCGCCCTGATCTTTTGGGGGTGAATACGGTTTGATTTGGACGATTTGTACAATATTGTCAACTTAAATCATTTCATATGATTTGAATTTTTTTTCAAATCAAGTCAAATCATTATTTACAGTTTGGTACGTTTTTACTTTGTGGTTTATCTATCGATATTATAGTAATATGTTTAAAATAAGTTAATATATAAATTTAAATAAGAGCTAATAACGTTGAATTAGATTCATATTTGTCTGAAATTCAAAATATAAACAGGAAGGCAAAAAAGTAATAGCAGGATGGCATCTAGTAACATGTTAATAGCTTTCTTCACTCAAACTTTTTTACGAACAACAATAAAGTAGCAGCAGTACCCCTTTAGGCTTCATAAAAATTGTGTTCTAACCTTTCATTTGATAATAATTGAAACAATGTCCTTATCTGAAATTTGTTAAAAAAAAAAAAAAAAAAAAAAAAAAAACCTATAATAGGAAACACATTCTAACATAATTTCGATGTATTCCTAAGCACTCCATTAATATTTATAGTAAAAAAAACTTAGTTCAACTCAAACAGTAAAATTTCATACAAATTTTAATATTATGGCCATGTTTGAGTCGTATTCTTTCAAAAAAAAATACATTTTAGACAGTGATTTGACATTATTTTAACCAAACTTTTCTTCAATAAAATAGTCGTACACTTAAATTCAAAAATTTTCATAATTTTTTAACCATATATTTTCCATCAATCTATTATTCCAAAATACATTCTTTCAAAATAACGTATCTCAAACACAATGTCTGTATTTTCACGTAAAAATGAACAAAAAGTCAACTTTTATTGCTGACATATACAAGTAAAATATAGACATACATGCATATAGACAAAAATATAAGAAAAAATAAAGAGATAAGCAGGAACTGTGCCGGATTTTACTGCATCAACAAATATTTCATTGAGCTCCGAAAATGCGTGATTTGCTGCCTTAGTATTGCGTGCTATAGGGTAGGGCTTCTAAAAGCTCCTTCTTTTTTTGCTTTTTTTTTTTCCATATGATTCGAGGATAATTTTAGTTTAGTTTAATATATGATTACTTCAATGGGCTAGTTTTAATTTGTATTGTTAAATTATTATTTTTTCCTAAAAAGTGAAATTGTAAAATTTATAATTTAATAAAATTAATTTTTAATTAAAAGATTAAAAAAGAAGTTCGGGATTTTTAAAAATAAAACCTAAACCAAACCATTTTAAAACGGTTTGGTTCAGTTTAGGGAGAAAAAATCACGGGTCTACGTAGAACTAAACCAACGGGTGCAGTTCTATTTATGATTTTGCAATTTTTTTGTGTAGCCTTACCAATTTTACATCCTACTTCGAAGTTGTGGTAGAGATTAATTTTATAAAAGAGATCAAGATATGCCCTTGAAGTTTTAAATTTTTTGGATGTAAATTTACATGGGTATGACTTTTTTGGATGTAAAATTTTGAAAATTTTTGACGACGTACTCCATGTAAAGTTTCCTAATAATATGATATAAATTATATTGCAAAATTTGTTATGTAAAAATAATAAACGTTAATGAAATACGTGAAAAAAAATAATTTAAAAGACGAGTTGGATGTTTCTTTTTAAATCATACATTTTGATGCACATTTAATTATTTTTTATATCCGTTTGTACAATTCGATATGTCTATGATGTAGACATGTAGTTCTTGAAATGAGCTTTGAAATGACACAGGCGATATGCGAATTCGGCTAGCGTATGAACATCGGAGAATTTTTCAAAGTTTATCGAAATACTAGTTTGGAATGACTTATTTTGATGTACCATAACATTTGCTATAATTGGTTGTTCGCACCATTAACGACATGGAAACCTAGGCCGTGAACATTTCCAAATGGTATTAAGTATGGAACTTTTCGATTTCATTTGGTATCTCATAATGACCCAAAAAGTAGGACAAATACATAGAAAATTTAGCCCTTGTTTGAGCTCTATTATTTGAAAAAAGAAAAAAAAAAGGATTTTGAAATGGTGCTTTTTGAAAAATATGTGGTTAAAAGTAATGAGAATTTTTGAGTTTACGTGTAATATTATTTTACGGAAAAATGTACGGTTTATAGGAGGAGAGAGAAAAATGAATTAAATTTTAATGGGGCCAAACAAGGGCTTAATGGTGGGAAAAGACTCGAAATGATTTATCTTCAGTTTTTCACTAGAAGCTTTTCATTTCAGTTTTCCTTTTTCTTTTTTCTTTTTTTTAATGCAAACTAAATCCACATCAGCACTTCCATTTACTTTTGTCAACTCTTCTGTAAATGGAAGTGTACAAGTAACAAAATCCTATTTGTTTTAATGGTCTCTAAAGTGGTATATCCTTGTTCTGGTTAAAGATGGTAGATTTCACAACTAATATTACGGGTTCAATAATTGATATCTTCCCCCACCCCACAATCTACAACTATAGCTACTAAATTCGGATAGGATCAGTTGGTCTGGCCCGTGAACCGAAAGACAGAACAATGGTCCGGTCCAATTATCATTATTTGGTCCATTTACAATGGAACCGCTCTCTTTGATGAATTAGTCTCTCTAGGTGTCTCTCCTAACTATCCCCTTATCTATTGTACTCGGGGTCTTGTACTAGCATTCTTCAAACCCTTTAAACATCTGTACAATTTAAAAATCTCTATGATAAACTTATTGACCACGAGACTTATCTTATTGACATTGATACTTTCCTTTTCTCACAATTCTCTTTCTATCGAAGTCACTCACTATAATATAGAGGGTGTTTGGTGGGGATTAAATTTAGATTTTTAGTAGATTTTGATAAAAAAAATTTGAAATGTGTGGTCAAAATGTTGTGAGACCCATAAAAAATTTGGTTAATATTAATTATTTATCTTTAACTTAGATAATCAAATTAGGAGATTGATAAAGAATGTGTAGTTAAAAATAAGAAAAATTTTAGATTTGCATATAATATTATTTTATTGAAAAATGTGGAGTTGAAAAGAAGGGAGAGAAAAATATATTTTGAAAATAACAGGAATCAAACAAGGCCATAGTCCTGAATCCAGTATTCAGTCTAGCAACTACAACTTCACTACTCTTGCCTTCCCGGTGTTAGGTGCTTCAACACAAAACCAAGCTCCTTTTTTATTGTTGTGTCAGTCTTTATGCTAATCACCGCTATAAGTTTGCTCACCTCCATCATCTAGGCCTTTGGTCATCGACTCTAGTGCCACATAACACATATTCACGGGGTGCCTTTCTTCTTGACACAAAAAAGGACACCATACAGCAATAGTCTGCTCGGCTAGACTACCTTCCACCTTTTCTCGATCGCATCGAGATGAAAGAAATTTTGATTACAATTTTATAGAAAGCTTACAACAGAAAATTTGAATGCATTGAAAATAAATTGATATTTGATTGATGAAAGCTGAAAATTACAATTATAGGTGCAAGGGATGGATACCAGTGAATTTGAAAGATTTTTGAATGACTAATATCCCCTATAATAGCATTCGAAACAAAAACTTAAGTGACAGAAGTAGACGTTTAAATGACGAGGAATCATACTAAACGTTTACAAATATCAGAGCTATTTTACAACTGTAAGAACTATTACAATTGAAAGAAAATTACAACTCAAACTAGAAACAAATATTTACAATGTGTGGTCGAAGTTGAACAAACTACAGCTGCGATTGTGTCAAGGGGCTAAGTAAAGTTGCGATCCTTAACATTCTCCCTCATTTGTTTTGGCGGCGTCCTCGGTGCCATCAATGCATGATATGCTTTAATCAATGGTTTGAAGTTCTAAGATCTTTTTCTATTTCCCAAGTATTTTCCTCGCTACTGCATCCGATCCATTTAACCAAGTACTATTGATGATCTTTTCTAGAGCTCGAGTGATTCGTTGGTTAAGAATAGCTTCAGCAACCTTCTTTCCAGCTTTCTTCAGTTCAAACACAAGCCGTTTTAGCTCATTTCTAGATGCATCATCCTTATCTGTAAAGTATGGCTTCAGTACACTAACATAAAGGACCTTGTGAATTTTACACCATGAAGGAAACTCTATATGCGACTCTTCCAATCCTCTTCACGATGGATAATGGTCTAATATATTTCAGCACCAATCTTGAGTCCTTTCCTCTTGTCAGTTTATAAACATTTCTGTCGAAAAGCTTAACCATTATCGGAAACGGTACTTTAGATTTACAGACTTTTTATACTGTTTTTGAGCTTTCTCCAGATAACTCTGAGCAATTTCAATATTTCGTTTCCACTCTTGAGAACAGTTTTTCACTTGAAGAGATTTGGTACTTTGTTCGATATCCACTGTATGAGGGAGTAATAGTGGTTGGCCAATCTCAAAAGGACTCTTATTGGTGGAAGAGCAATTTTAGGTATTGAAGCAAATCTTAGTTGCATCCAAGAGTTTTACCCAATTTTTCCATGAAGTAAAGATAAAGTATCGAAGATTTTCTCCTAGCATAGAATTGAAGCGCTTCGTTTGTTTGTCAGATTGTGGGTGAAAACTAGAACTCATGCTCAAAATTGAACCAAGAAGTTTGAACAACTCGGTTCAAAATATGCCAGTGAATCGAGAATCTCAATCACTGACGATGTCCTTAGCCAGTCCCCAGTATTTGACAATATGTTTCAAGAAGAGTTGAGCTGTCTCTTTCGCTGATACATACTTAGGAACTTCGATGAAAGTTGTGTACCTTAATAGATGGTCCACAACGACGATGATAATGCTAAAATCCTCAACTTTTGGCAACTTAATAATGTAGTCCATTGATATACTTTTGAATGGCCTAGTTGGGACAGAAAAGGGCTCCAACAAGCCTATCCTTT